AAGGAAGTTGGGAGAGCCATTATTAACTGAGTTCTTCCTGTTGTGTTCCTTGATCCATGTACTGCATAGAACTCCCCCTTCTGACCTTCTGCCCTCATTTTAAATGAGGTTTCTGTTTAATTTTTATAATACACATGCCAGTTCCTTTGGAAGACTCTTAAGAGCCCAAACTGAGACCAGGAACACAGATTTAGTCTCACTTTCACTTTTGGCTTTCCCTAAGTGTCTCTGTGTCCTTATCTGTGAAAAAATTCTTTTGGTGCCTTACATTTCAGAGTGGTCTGGAGGATCATGGAGTGACTATTTCTGAAAGTGATGTATTTCGTCCAGCTCTTATTATTACCCTTCCTTGTGTTCTGGGAGTGGGTTATTTCTTTTTTACATATATTTTTTTAATTTTTCAATTACAGTTGACATGCAATATAATGTTAGTTTCTGGTGTACAACCCAGTGATTAGACATATAACTTACAAAGTAATTACCCCACAAATCTAGTACCCATATGACACCATACATAGTTATTACAATATTATTGATTACTGGAGGCCTGTTGCACGAAGTGATTTCCCCTGGCTGCTGGCACCGGTTTGCCTCCGGCACCCGGGGCCCAGGCCTTCACTCTGGCCGAGTTCTGGCCAGAGCCGGCCCTGGGGTCGTCAGGCTTCGCTCCACCACTGGGAGCCTATGTATACAAGTTAACCGCCATCTTTGTTGGCAGTTAATTTGCATATCATGCCGATTAACCTATGGGAGGTGTAGCGAAGGTACGGTCAATTACCATGTTTGTCTATTATTAGATAGGATATTTTCTATGCTGTACTTTACATCCCCATGATTATTCTGTAACTACCAATTTGTACTTCTTAATCTCTTCACCGTTTTTACCCAGCCCCAGCCCTCTCCTATCTGGCAATTATCAAAATGTTCTCTGTATCAGGGAATCTATTTCTGCTTATTTGCTTATTTTGTTTTTTAGATTCCCATAGAAGTGAAATCATGTGGCATTTGTTTTTCTCTCAGCACAACCCCTCTGGGTTTATCCATGTTGTTGCAGATGACAATATTTCATACTTCTTTATGGCTAAATCATAGTCCATTGTATATAGCAATAGTTGATAGATATGTATTTATTGCCATGTTATTATTCATATTTTAAATCCATTTTTTCTTTTTCTTAAAGAAGGCCTTGTAACATTTCTTGTAATTCTGGTTTGGTGGTGATCAACTCCTTTAGCTTTCTCTTATCTGGGAAGCTTTTTATCTGTCCTTTGATTCTAAATGATAACTTTGCTGGGTAGTTTTGGTTGTACATCATTGCATTTCATTACTTTGAATATTTTGTGCCAATTACTTCTGGCCTGCAAAGTTTCTGTTGAGAAATTATCTGACAGTCTTATGGGAGTTCCCTTATAGGTAATTAACTGACTTTCTCTTGATACTTTTAAGATTCTCTCTTTGCGTTTAACCTTTGGCATTTTATTTTTTTTCTCTTTTTTTTATTGCTTAAAATATTACAAAGAGTAGTACATTTGTCTCCTTTTTTTTCCCCCTTGACCTTCCCCCAGCCTCCCCTACCCCCCAGTGTCTGGTGTCCATTGGTTATGCTTGTATGCATGCATACAAGTCCTTTGGTTGAACAAAAATAGATACAGAGGCAGAGCAGCATTAAACAGACTGTCAAACTACAGCAGGAAGGTTGGGGAGGGTTGTGGGGGAGTAAGAGATCAATCTTTGGCATTTTAATTATGATGTGTCTTGGTTTGGGCCCCTATGGGTTCATCTTCTTTGGGACCCTCTGTACTTCTTGGACTTGTATGTGTATTTCCTTCACCAGGTGAGGGAAAATTTTGATCATGTTTTCAAATAGGTTTCCAGCCCAGGCCAGGTTTTGCTCAGTGGTTAGAGTGACAGTCCACCCACTGAAGTGTTGCAAGTTCAATTCTCAGTCAAGGGCCTATACCTGGGTTGCAGGTTTGAGTCCTAACCCTGGTCGTGGTGCATGATGGAGGCAACCAATCAATGTATCTCTTTCACATTTCCCCCTCTCTCTCTCTCTCTCTCTC